GGATATCTGCGAAAAGTGCCGAGAGGTCTCGGCGCGTGTGCAAGACCTGCGTGCCAACAAACATGGCCTGCAGCAAGCATATTTGGGCTTTCGGCCGGATTCGGCCAACCGCGATTTTATCGACGTGCAGGAGGCCGAGAAGGTTGGTTATCTCCCTAGATCAGCAGCTGTTCACAACCTCAAGACTGCCAGGGAGGGATCGAGGGGGGAGCTAGCGGGAGAGCCCGTGTGCGAGTCAAGTCTGACTTTCGTCTTGGAGTCATCCGATGCCGGCATGGGCAGGGCTTTGATGATGCTGTGGACGGCCTATGGACTGGCGCAACAGGAGGGTCGCGCCTTTTTTATCGACGATACCCGCTGGGCGTATGGGGAATACACCGACATATTCCAAGCGCCCCCTTCTCCAAAGTGCAGAGCGCCTCCAAGGCATGAGATGCTGCCTTGCCCACGACATGCACGACACTTGGTAGCGTCGGCTGCGACAGCCGGCGAGCTTTTCGGCGTCGGCAGAAGTGGCAGGCTCGAAACACCCGTGCCAGAAGCCTTGCTTGACGAGTCCGCGGCCGTCACCGCGAACCAGAAAACCATGTTCGCCCTTGCGCGCCAAGGACATGACGCCCTTTTTCACCTCAACAAGGAGGACAGCGACTATGTTGACGCCCGTGTCCGCGAGCTGATGGCCAAGAGGATAATACCAAAGACGAAAGGCAAGCAGAACGGGCTCACAATCGGCATCCACGTGCGACGTGGCGACCGCCATCCCTTTGAATACCAGTATCGCGAATCCTACATGCCACTCAACAAGTACATCGAGGTTGCGCGCGACATGGTTGACGACCGCTTCAACCACACGGGCCCGCACGGCGGCGAGGACACGGCTGCCAAGGCCCACAGTTTCCTTGTCGTCGCGTCCGACGACCCAATGGTCTATGAGAGCGCAGAGTTTACCGCAACCGCCACCACCACGGCACAGGACCGCATCAAGCTTGCCAGCAAGCAGGCCATCCAGCAAGCGAATCCGGACAAGCACGTTATGCGCAAGTTTGTCGACGAGACGTTCGGCTGGGAGGGAGGCTTCTTCGCGGCCATGTTCTGGCATCTGGCTGGAGGGCAGAATCTGGCAAATACCCTGCCTTCGTTGGAGACTGTCCGGCTCAGGAGTCTGGTTGGCCGCGCATACATGATGGACTTGGCGGTGCTGGCTGATGCGAGCGATGCCGTCATCTGCACAGTCAGTGCGGTTGGATGCCGGCTGTTGGCGGTCATGATGGGGTGGGATAGCGCAGTGGAAAAGGAGAACTGGATCAATATTGATGGCGGATACGGATGGATGGGCGTATGAGTTGCGTTGTTTGCTCAAGGGATAACAGCACCAAGGGGACAGTGACCAACTTGCGTTGCCACGAATCAGCACTTTTCGGACGAGGAAACAAAAAGCCGGGCGAAAACACAGCAAACAAGCACACAGTGCGACATCTATCGGCAGCATTTGTACGGGCGTTACGGGCACTCCAGGCGGGACCATCGGTCAGGGGTCATGAGGAAAAGGGGTTTGTTTGTATTTCAGGAGGGGAAGGAAGGGTGCACCATGATACCACAGCCATGCATTCACTCACATGCAGTTGTTTTTTCTTCTGTTTTTCTTCTTCTTTTTTTCTTTCTTCATTTCAGTTTTCAATCTCTTCTTCCCTCATCTTCCCTATCAGAGAGCCAAAGTTACTACTTGATTTGTTGCCAGCAAAGGGGCTTGTTGGATTTGGCGAGGGGAGTTGCAATTTGCAGCTGTTGGTCAGGAAGCAGGGCATCTAGCCACTACACTCGCTCAGTAGGCAGAGAATATCGATGAGAGTATAGCCGCAAACTCTGTCGCGCATTGGATCTGAATTGCCTCGATACCTTGGTGTTTGTTGTATAGCACATTTCAAGGCCAAACTACGTAATTGCGTGGTTATCGATTAATACACGGTAGTATAAAGAAGTGAAAGCGGGCCCTGAGCATGAACGAACACGAATATTATGCAGCCGTTGTGAATTTGATCATGTGATTGGTCGGCGTATTCGTAATCGCTCAACGGCTCGTTGTCCAATCTTGGGACGGGAGAAGCCGCTGTCGGGCACCAGTGGCCTGAGAGCTTTGGCTGACATCCTGCCATCCAATAGAAAAACCGAAAGATCTGAATTGGTGAATGGCATGATGCAGTGGTCGGTACCTGGGTACCTTGGTACCTGAGCTGGAAAGCGAATACGAATGCTGGCTGATTGGCTCTGGACCTGCCAAGAGCCAGCTGCCCAGTCCATTTTGGACTTGTTAGCTCAGGGATGGGAATTATAGCCTGCATGTGCCATGGAGTCTGTCAGATTACGGATACAGATTCTCTGCTGCAGCCACTGCCCACCTTTCGCCTGCGCGCGCGACGTATTTTGTTAAAAAGTCGGCCTCGACCTCGAACTCGATCTCTACCGCCTCCCATCGCTGACTTCGCCTGTTTTCATTTTGGATCAGCAGCAGTCCCTCGTTCCTGGCGTCGGCATCAATTGGCGGAACTCGCTCTCCCTGTTCTTCTTATCCCCTTCCCCTTCCCCATACTGGTCGTCTTGTCTCGTCACGTCCAGAGACCAGACCGACAATGGGTCTCCTTCAAGACTTGACGGGGCCGCTGGCTCTGGAGTTCTCTAAGCTGGGCACCGCGTCGCAAGTCGGCGTCGTGATCGCCTCCTTCATCTTTCTGTCCGTCTTCTTGAATGTCTCTCGCCAGCTACTCTTCAAGAATCCCAATGAGCCCCCCGTGGTCTTCCACTGGTTCCCCCTGATCGGCAGCACCGTCACTTACGGCATGGACCCGCCCCGTTTCTTCAAGGAGAACAAGAAAAAGGTGCGTCTCGAGATTGCTGGCACGATGCGTCGCGCTCTGCCGCCTAGCAGCTAACGCGGGACATTGCAGCACGGCGACGTTTTCACCTTTATCTTGCTCGGAAAGAAGACGACCGTCTATCTCGGCACCCAAGGCAACGATTTCATCCTCAACGGCAAGCTTCGCGATGTTTGCGCCGAAGAGATCTACACAGTCCTCACCACCCCCGTGTTTGGCAAGGACGTCGTCTACGACTGCCCCAACTCCAAGCTGATGGAGCAAAAGAAGGTTCGTCAGACGGATCCGCGACTTTGGAATGGGGGCAACGAGAAGAGCGCGCGCTAACTGGGCCACCAACAAAACAGTTCATGAAGATTGCCCTTACAACCGAAGCCTTCCGCACCTACGTCCCCATCATCTCGGACGAGGTCTCTAGCTATTTCAAGAGAACCGCCGCCTTCAAGGGCCCCTCGGGCATTGTCGACCTGCCTCCCAAGCTGGCCGAGATCACCATCTTCACTGCCTCACACGCCCTTCAGGGCAAGGAGGTCCGCGAAAAGTTCGACGAGTCTCTGGCCGCTCTCTACCACGATCTGGACATGGGATTCTCCCCCATCAACTTCTCTCTTCACTGGGCGCCGCTCCCCTGGAACAACAGACGCGACCACGCCCAGCGGACCGTTGCCAAGCTCTACATGGATATCATCAAGTCGCGCCGCGCCTCGGGCGAGACTGGTGCCCAGGATATGATGTACCACCTGATGAACTCGACCTACAAGGGCGACATTCCCGTCCCCGACCACGAGATCGCGCACATGATGATCGCCCTCCTTATGGCTGGCCAGCACTCGTCGTCTTCTACCAGCTCCTGGATCATGCTCCGCCTCGCTTCCCAGCCCAAGATCATGGAGGAGCTCTACGACGAACAGGTTCGCGCTCTCGGCGCCGAACTCCCCCCGCTCACATATGAGGACCTTGCCAAGCTGCCCCTCAACCAAGCCGTCATCAAGGAGACCCTCCGCCTACATGCCCCGATCCACTCCATCATGCGCGCTGTCAAGCAACCCATGTCGATCCCTGGCACCAAGCTGGTCATCCCCACCAACCACGTCCTCCTCGCGGCACCCGGCTTCAGCGCCTCCGACCCGCAGTACTTCCCGAACCCGGAGCTGTGGGACCCCCACCGCTGGGCGGCGGATGCTGTCAACGCGCCCAACATTGCAAGGAATGCTGCCGCCGAGGAGGAGACGATCGACTACGGTTACGGCCTCGTCAGCAAGGGCACCGGGTCGCCGTACCTGCCCTTCGGTGCCGGAAGGCATCGTTGCATTGGCGAGCAGTTTGCCAACGTGCAGCTGCAGACCATCGTGGCTATGATTGTGCGCGAGTTCAAGTTCCGCAATGTCGACGGCAGCGACAAGATCATCGGCACAGATTACGCGTCGTTATTTTCGCGCCCGCTGGAGCCGGCCAAGATCTACTGGGAGAGGAGGGAGAAGGCATAAAGAGTAGAATTTTCCTGGGTTTGGCGGCGTTGGCGCGGATGCGTAGGTACTGTATATATTGACCCTGGTACACACATTTCTGGCTTGGGTGCTGCGAGTCACTCGCCAGTCTGTCCGTCTGTCTATCAGCCGCTCTGGAGCGTATGGAAGAGGACGTTGGTCAGTCGGAGCAGGGCAGGCAGGGGCGAAGGCGGGGATGGACCGTGGCGCGAGCTGGGAAAAGGGATTTAGAATAATATCTAATAATGAGCGAAACTCACGACAGGGATAGATGAATGAAACATAAATCAACAATGGCCGAACCGCTGCTTTGCTTGGTCACCGTGTGTGCGTCATGTGAATATGCTTTGTATGAATAGATTAACATGCCCCGTTCCCCTCTACGACATGGAACTAATGGGTTCTTGGTCTTTGTTCTGGAATCAAGGTCAACAGCATCCATCAGCAACCTAGGTCAGGTAGTTCAGCCTAGGTAGATGCATACCGGTGGACTACCTAGGTAAGTCTATGTGGATATCCACCTGCGTCCCTCCACTCAAACCCTCATGATCCACCCACAACATTTACCTGGTCTCGATGTCCACACCCACAATGTTACAAGTACCGGCACAAGCGGACGAGAGTTCATCAAATCCAGATTTCTGGGAAGGTGGCCGAGCGGTCTAAGGCGCCACGTTAAGGAGATATCCTTGATAACTTCAGATTCCTCTCTCCCGAGGAAACAAGATTCCGTGGTCTCGTAAGAGGCGTGGGTTCAAATCCCACCCTTCTCATTTCTTTTTGGCGTCTGCGGTAGCGAAGAGTTTGTATAATGAACTCTGTTGATTGTCTCTCTCTCTTTTCTTTTTGTATTCTCACTTGGTTTGTTTTCTTCGCGTCTTTTCTTCTTTCTTCTGCTGATTCTCTCCTCTTCTCTGCCATTGTTTTCTCTTCTTTTGCGTTTTGATCTTTCCATGGTGACCATCCATCCATCCATACATACACTACATGTATTGAACATCATAGTCAACTCTCTTCTGTGCGAAATAGTCGTCGTTTCAAGCCAAGTTTTCGAGGTTCCTAGAACTATGTGTCCTGCTTTTTCTTTTGCTTCGATGCATCACTACTAGCTAGGTATCTACACGGCAGCGCGGATCGCAAAATGAGAATAGGAAGGCAAGGAAAAAAGAATAAACATGAATAAATTCCCAGATGCCAGATCCCAAACGCCCCCCTTGTCTAACTGAACCCGACGATGTTTCATGTCTGTCTGGCTGTCTGGCTGTCTGTCTGTCTGTCTGTCTGTCTGTCTGTCTGTCTGTCTGTCTGTCTGTCTGTCCGTTTTGTCTATCGATCGCTCGATCAAACAGAGCAAAAGCAAAGGCAAAAGCAAAGCGCCAAAAAGACGATGCCGACGAAGAAATAAAAAACATCACAACCCACCCCCCTTATTTCCCCGTGGGCGAGACGTGCCTGTCTGCCTGCCTCTTGTCCAGCTCAGCTCAGGTGGTGCTGTTGAGGTAACTCAGGTAGCAGTTCCAGCCGATGCTGATGACGTTGACAAACAGCAGGCGGTGCTCGAGCGGCACCAGCTTGAAGTTGACCATCTGGACAAACGGCCAGATCATCCAGTTGGTGGTCAGCGCGGGCGCGTAGCTCCGCTCTAGCTTGTCGCGCGGGCTGCCGCCCTCGAGCACCGCCATGCTGCCGAGGAAGACACCGATGAAGGTGGGCGCGAACAGCAGCTGGTCGCAGGCCACGCGCGCCAGCGTCGTCGCGTTGGCCGACTTGAAGTTGACGTGCCGCTGCAGGAGCTTGAACCAGGTCGCGGCTACGGGGCCGAAGACGGCTGTGGGTGAGGTTGGTTAGTCGATGAGAGCAGTGGCAGTGGCAGGGCAGAGACAAAAAAACGTACCGCCGCCGTAGAGAACCATGCGCCCGGTGCGGGCAAGCTCGTGCTTCTCGAGCCCCTTCTTCTCGACCAGCTGCTGCGCCGCTACGTCGCCGACGCCAAACAGGATCGACGTGGTCACGGCTTGCGTGAGCAGCGGCCGGGCCGCCAGTCTTGCTTTGTACCTGCAGAGCCATGTGTAAGTAACGATTCTTTTTAAATAAAAAAATACCATCCCCGTGCTGGGCCGGATTTGTGTGTTTTGCCCAGCACGGTGAGACAGGTCAAGTACGTACCACCCATACATGGCTGCTGCCGTGTGTGATGAACGGGAGTCCGGGTGGTGTGTAATTCAGGTGAGGTAGCCTGCACGAGCAAACTGGACCGTAACCACCGTTTCGTGCGAATATGCGTCGTCGTCGTCGTCGTCGTCGTCGTCAAGCAGCTTTCAGTTTTTTATGTTATATTGGGTATGTTCACTTTTACGGGCCGTTGGACGGGGGCGTGGGCGGGGGGGAGAAGGCTCCAGTCGTGTGAAACGGAGAAGCAGAAAAAGATTGACAAAAGTGAGCGAGCGAGTGAAACAGACAAGAGACCATGCAAAGGCGTCGTGAATCGTCTTGTTATAGTTTATCCTAGGTCAGGGAGTTCCTGCCAACAGGAAAGAGCAAACGAAGAGGTAAAAAAAGAAGGACGATGTATCAATCTCACAAGCAGCGTTGCATTTGTATCGCATCCACAGTAAATCGAATCGGACGGGAGTTTGAAAGCCTGAGAACATCTATCTACGTCAACAAGCAGGCCGATAAGGCACCAGGCGCTCCCCCCAAACCGGGCGCCAATGATCGCCGTGCATCCGTCCAATTCAGGCCCCAGGTTCCAGGGCAGTGGCTCACGTGACCTGCCAAAATCCGCCGCTCTAGGCCTAATCTCGCTACTCCTACAGCGGGCGCGAGCGGAATCAGGGGTCCTATCCAGGGGATGGGACGAAGCAAAGCGGAGACTCCACTTGCAGGCAATTCGACTCCGACTCGACCGCCTCGAGCAGGGCAGTGACGGAAGTCAACAACATGGGACATCGAAATCGTCTGTGGATGCGGACCTGCCTTTGGTGGTGGTGACAATCTCACCAAGCAAGACCAGATTCAAAGAGAGGTCGGTTGGAACTATTTTTCATAATAATTTGTTAATACCATTCATCCATCCCCGATTTCGACACCCGAGGTACAGTAGGTATCTTGACATATCCTTTCGTTTGCATGGAAACTCGCTCATCGGTGATGCACAGTAGGCAAGGTGCTACTCAAACAAAAGCCTAACATCAATGATATCTAAATGCTTAGATTGCAGTCGCTCTCTGCAGTCAGTCATCCAGAGCACGCAAAAACAAGCACCGCTTTCCTTTTTCATGCCATCCAAGCCTTTCCATTACTAGCTATGTACATGACCGCCAGTATTCAAAATCCATCAAGGCCTTGAAAATTAGCTCGTCCAACTTTTCTTGTGGTTTTTTTTTTTTCGTCGCCCCTACCCATCGATTTATTTGTTATCAAACTTCATCTTCGACTAACCGGCGTCAATCCCGGCGCTCACTTGGGTTCCTATACCGAGATACCACCAGATTCACCTGCCTCACTGAAGACCATGACCTACTCTCTCTCCACAACAGCTGGGGCTCTTATGGTCTGCCCAGCAAACTTCTCGAGACCCTCGCCTGCCTATGTGGTACGGTTAGCACATGTCGTACACACGCAAGCGGGGAAGAGAAAGCACATACGTAGCTCATCAGCGGGCCGACCTCGATTCCCGCTTCGGGCTCCTCACTTTCGACTGTGGCGCCCGCGGTCTGGATCCACCGCTTGCCCTGGGCCATGATGTCCTGTCTACTCGTGTCTGGGTCATCCTCGCCCGTGCCAGGCGCGTTCTTGAGCGGGCTGAACTCGTCCTCGCGACGCACCTCCATGCACGCGAACTTGCTCATCTCTAGCATGGGGAACACGTCAAACACAAACTGCTCCAGCTTGATGCCGTTGGGCTTGGTGGGCTTGACAGTCTCGCCCGTCTCGAGATCCGTGTAGGGGATCTTCTTGCGGGCCACGTGGTGCGGCAGGTCGTTGGCCCATTGCGGGATGCTCTCGAGGAAGCGGAACGAGTAGTAGTGGTTGACGATGTTGGCGGCGCGGAACTTGAGCACGCCGGGCTGCTTGGGGTCTATCGCCTTGGCCGTCTCCTCGTCGATCTCGCTGTACTCGACCACGTCGGGCCGGCCGTTCTTGCAGAGGATCAGGCCGACGCTCTCGGACGCGTTGCGCTTGCGCACCACCTTGGTGGCGATGTCGACGTCCAGGGACGCGGCGAAGCCGAGGAAGACGGGGTCGGCAACCTTGACGAGGCAGTTGTCGACGCAGTAGGCGTGGATGTGCTCGATGCCGCGCTTCTTCATGTCGTCCAGGACCTTGGATTCCACGAGGGCGTTGTAGATGCCGCCGTTGCCATCAGGGGCCACGGCCACCTTGCTCTTGCTCTCGAGGATGATCTTGCCGTCGTTGGAGATGCAAGGGAGAACGCCCTGCTCGAAGATGATGACGTTCTTCGGGTCCAGGCCAAAGTAGCCGTTCTGCTTGAAGTAGTCCTCGGTAGGTCCACGGGTGGGACCAGACGTCATGACATACCACGGGACGACGACCTTGGGTTTCGCGATGGGCGTCTTTGGGCCATCGTCTTCGGCCTCGGCCTTCTTGGCCGCCAGCCTCTGCACCTTGCGGATGCGCTCGGCCTGGATCTTGAACAGAGACTTGCCCGAGGGCAGCCCGATGTTGTAGCAGCCCTTGGGCGCCGAGCTGCCCAGACGGGTGCCCTGCCCGCCGGCCATGAGGACCACGGCCACCTTGTTCTGGGCGATGAGGTCGAGGCCGGACGAGTACCACTTCTCAATGTCTTCGGGCTTCGAGTCCAGGATGCTGGCCGTCACTGACTCTGGGAGGGGCTCCAGCACGTCCTCCTTGGGCTTGCCGCCGTCATCGTCCTTCTTAGGCGGGCTGAGGGCCTTGGCGGCGATGGTGTTGATGTAGGTCGGGTCGAACTTGGACAGCTGCTGGAAGAGGGCTGTCTTGTCCGCGGCCGAGAGCGAGTCGAAGAAGGTGAGCACCTGGCTCTGGCCGGCATTGGTGTACTTCGCCTTTAGCTGCGCGACCTGGTCGGGTGTAGGTTCCTGGGGCCCATGGTGACCTCCGATGTGCAGGGCTTCCTTGACCTTGTCCATGCCGGCTGCTGGCTGCTGCGGGGGAGTGCTGTGTGTTGTGTGCTGTGTGCTATTCCTTAGCACCGTATCCAATTCTGGCCGTGAGATATGCAAAAGAAGATGCTCGAGGCAATGGATTGAATGTCGAGTAGCAAAATCAATAATGTCGTCGTTGCAGGAATGAAACAAGAAGACAACAAGCCAGGTCGAACGGAGTGTTGTTCAGCAGCAAACGAGGAGGGCCCTTTATGGGACCTGCCCTGAAGCAACAGCTCCCGTCGGAATGCGACAGCCCCGCCATCAGCTCCTCCCCTCCTCCACCCATTTTACGGGTTGAGGAGCTCCTCCCTTAATTAGGTACGCCACTAGGGAACGAGGAAGGCACACGGGTAACCCGTAACCCGTCGGGCCAGGAAAGTAGTGTAAAGCGCTCCTTCCACGATCCGCTGGGGCCAACCATGACAGAAATGGAAACTGACGTCGTCAGCTCGTCGTTTATTCCAGGTTTTTGCCGGGTGTTACTGCAGGTACGACGGATGCGCGCCGGCAAAACACGAGATTTGCCGTCTTTATACAGGCCTATTCGTATACCAGGTAGGTACCCTTCAACTGTTTCTTACATCAAGGTGCCTGCCGCGGTATTCAGTAATCGTCAGGTTGTA